ATTTTTAGTTTGTCAGGAACAATACCTGTTTTAAATGAAAGATCAAAAACATGAAATAAAGAAGGTTCAATAATATCAAATACTGATTTGACAATATCAATACTAATTTTATCAAAACCTTCACTTTTTTTACTTTTGAGACTGCTAAATGCAGCACTCAGCTCGCTAAGTTTTAAACTAGTTTCATCCATAAGTTTGTCATAAGTTTTTAAGTATGAATCAAAAGGAGTGGAGTTAGATGGAATTTTAGCAGCCAATTTCGGACCAATACTGACAAAGTAATTGTTTAGTTCTTCAGCTATAATAGATTTATCATAAACTAATTTTCCATTAACTAAGAGATTTTTTGGCAGAGTGTTTTTTTTGTAATTATTTTTTTCAATTAAATCCTTAATTACATTCCATACTTTTTTAGTGTTTCCGTTGTGTTTTTTTAATAACTGAGCATAATAAAGCTTTTTTGAGTATCTTTTTATTTTTTCGAATATATTTTTGTAATTTTTATAAGTTATTTCATTTTTATAAGATTTTTTTTAAGATACTTTATATATAATTTTTCTTTCTTTTTTGAAGATTTTAGTAAGCCTATTGACATCCAGGGATTTTGAAGTGATTTGGTATTTATGATTATTTCTTTTTCTGGAAACGCTATTTCATATTGCTTGCAAAATTGACCAAGAAACAAGTTATAAGCATTGTTAGCATCACTTGATTGCAAAATTAAGTTCCAATCAACATTATTTTTTAAACAGCATTTAAAATGCTTCAAGGAGTTTTCATTGATCTGTCGCCGAAATATTGTGGATTTTGTGGCAATATTGTTAATTAAAATGTTATTGGTTGCTAAGAATGTTGGAAAATGATCCGATAAATCAGTCTGAATTATACCTGTGAAAAAAGGACTATTATAAAAACTGTTAGTTATGATGTTATCAAGTAGAGTAGAAGACTTTTTTGTAACTCTTGTTGATTTGTTTATTGTTGGAATAAATACTTTGTATCATCTTTCTGATGCATCTATAAAAATTCATTTTGTGATCTCCTTCGTTTACAGTTAGTAACATTCTCCATATCAGTTTTTTATTTTTTATATGATTTATTTAATTCCAAAATATTAAGATGATGGTGCTTAATAACTTTGCTTCATTAAAAAACATTTATTGAGATTTATTGAGATTGCAGATATGATAAATTCCAAACTTAAGTATGTTCATGCCTATGCTAAATAAAGAGGTCTTGCACAAGATTGCGATGGTGGAGGTCTGGCAAAAATAAAAAACTCTAAAACGCTCTCCTGCCCAAACGCGAGAGCACTAATTTAGTAATATTTTTAACTTTACTATCTTAAACATAATTTAAATTTATCCACAGATTTTAAATTTAGTACAAAAATATTTTAAAGGCTTCTTAATTTAGTATAGGTATAAGCATACCTAAGTTTGAAGCTTGCACATCGCGTGGAAGTTTCATCTCTGAAACATCGAAATCTCCCGCAGGTGCCAATGAATGCAGGTAATGTACATTTGAGCCGGTGAGAATCAGAGTGGTGTAAGTCAAGGTTTCCTCAGTTTGAGATATTTAAGGTTTTATTAAATTTAGTGTAGAGAAAACTCTACAAACTAAAAAAAAAAACAGTTGCCAGTTTCTTTACATTAACTTGCACCTTACACCTTACACCAGTCTCAAGTTTAACATAATGATGTTTTATTATCATAAATATTAGCTTAACTCAATTTTTATTATTTTTATCTGACTTACAACACGCTGATTCTCACCAGCTCATTTATTACTGACCTAAATTGGGAAAAAACATGCAGAGGTTGTACATACATAGGCTGACTTAAATAGGGAGAATATACAAGCAGACTCGGATTAGTAATTTCGTTAACATATGGCGAAACAAAATCTTAAATATTGTTTTTTGTTAAAACACTTTCTTTTAAAAATTTTTATTAAGTCTAAACACTTTCTTTAAAAAATTCGTTGTGGAAAAACGTGCTGTTTATTGGTAAAAAACTACAAATAAATCATTGCATTTGTGTAAAATATAGAAAAACAAATGTTCGTTTCTCTGCACTTCTTAGTGGCAAAAGCATTTAATGATGTAATCTACATTTAGACTTTTCATCAAATCGTGTTTAATGCAGAGAAGAGAAAGATTTGTTCGTCCTGGAACAATTTTTTCGCATTTTTTAAGTTTTTAAACTTTTTCCCGTCCTCTATATTACCTTTATAAAAAAAAGTAAACATGATATTTACATTATTGCTTGTTCGTCGCTGATTTTTCCTATCAAATGTTTTAAGATTAATAATGACATAAAACAATTACTGATCACTCTATAGAAAAAATACAATTTGTTTTTATAAATTCGGTAAAAAGCAAAATTTTGGTTGAAAAACATACTGAAAACCGAAAAGTTTGTACGTTAGTAAATTTTTATATAATTTAGAAAAACAGTTACTTTTGAGAATTTTCACAAAATATTTTTAAAGTTTTCACAAAAATTTTGAGAATTTCCACATGATACCTCCAAAAAATCTTGTTTTGCAGAGAAAATCCACCAGTTGTAATGTTTTGTGAGCTGAACTTGTCTTCGCGGGCCTTAGTATGTGGCCTATATATGAGAATTAGCCGGAGGATGATAACCAAAAGACCACAGCTGTTGTCAAACCAAATTTATTAATTAGTTGTAATCGATTAATGAATGGTTGAGTCGTTTATTTTGAAAGTGACATAAATCAACTTCTCCAAAAAATCAAGCTATTGATAACAATGTAACGGTATCTCTTCATTTGTAAAATAATTTAAACCAATTGTGTTGAAAACTATATTTAAAATTATTGATTTATATTTGTGAAATTTTCACAAATGAAAAGATCCCATTACATTGTAATCATTGTTATCAATAAATTAATTTTTATGAAAAGGTAACTTATGCCAATTTCAAAATAAACGGTTCAGTTGCACATTCTAACATCCAGTGCAATGTCTGTCCGCTATCTTAATGCTATCTTTCTTACTTGACTTCTTCTATTTTTCACACTAATATTCTTCGTTCTTTTTAAACTCACTTACTCTTGGTCCGTTAAAGCGGGTTATGATGCTCTATAGTGAGCTGAACTCGTTTTCGCGGGCCTTGGTATGTGGTCTCTATATAACAATTAGCCTGAAGAGGATAAACCACAATACCACAACTGTTGTGTTTCATTTTTCAATGTTTCTGATATTTCTAAAAACAGCAAAAATTATTGAAGCCTCTATATGTGACTGATAAATTAATAATATTACATTATTCAACTTAATAAACAAAAGATTGCCAATAAATTATTCATTGTAACTAATTGAAAGCAGCCGATGCAGATTATCTTTTAAACTTTTTTTTTTTTTACATAATAAGAATAAAAATTATAAAAAACTATATAATTGAAAAAAAATCTTTTTTTTTTTAAATTGCATTCTGATGACGTAATGGCTGCTGTATACTTGATGCACAAATAATTTTAAACGATTATTTTATTTGGTATTTTTTCGTGTTCTAAGTAGATCCATTATTTTAATGGCTATTCCATAATTTTATATTTGAAAATATTATTAAAAAACAACGTTTGTCTGGTAAACAATAGTTAAGAATACTTATACATAGACTTTGGTGTATTAGATTTTCAAATATCTGTTTTGCAAATAATATAAAAGTTAAAAATTAAAAAATTATTAAGACATTAAGACAAAAATTATTAAGTCTTTACCTTTTGTTATCTAAAATATTTACTTATATTTTGTTATCTATAATCTATAACCGTCAAGGATATCTTTGTTTTGCAATATTTTGATTCTTAACTTATTCAACAGAACAATTATTTAATAAAGTATTTTTCTAAAGTTTTGTATTTGTTATTTTATTTGTTGATTATTATTTATTTGAATTTTTAAAAATTTTGAAAAACACAGGTTTAATAGGGTTCTATGGTAACAACTATGGTGACAACTTGTCTTCTTCTTGTTTGTTGCTTCTTCCTTCGACCTTTGTACATTTTGTAGCCTCTTTCAAATTTTATTTATTAATATTCTAGAGTTTTTAAATTATAACCTTGTGAAGTTTTCAACTACCTAATTTTTGAGAGGACGATATCATCTTTTGCTTGAAGGTAATATTTTGCGAAATTTTGAAATGCGACTAAAAAAAAAAATTTGGCAATTAAATTTTTAAAAATAAATTAATTCAAGCGTTCGGCAAGTTTATTATTAATTATAATTTTTGTTTTTATTTTTTGTTAAAATATTTAATCAAACAATTTCTTATTTTATAAACTTTTTATACAAATTCGTTCATATTATTAAAAATAATAAGTTTTAGCTAATCTTTAATTACACTAAGTAAATTATTTTTAAAACCTTGCGAAGGAGAAACTTAGAAGCGTTTTATGATGTACAGATAGGGGCTCAATTTTTTTATTGAGTTTTAATTCCTTTTCTTTATGCATTTATTCGGATATCTAACTTCCTTCCATCGTATTTTATTCAATTTTTGAACCTAAAGCGCACCTAAAATTAGACTATTATTAAAACTATTCAGTAGCTTTATTGTGGAAAAATTTCTTATATATTATTTTAAGCAGATGCTATCACTTATATTTTGCTCAAACAATATATACTCAGTAATAAAAATAAGAAATTATAAAAGCAAACAATAAACATCAGACATTATTAAACGTTTGGAAATGTTATACAATATAATTAAAATAAATACAATTGTTTCACGATCGTTTGATTAAAAGTAAAACTACCGATTTTATTTTTATTGTCGCTGATGATTATTTAAAATTCTTATGTAATATGATCTCTAAAAAGTTAAAATTCTTATATATATAGATATATTTATATATATTTGTTCTGTAATATTGTTTGTTTGGTAAAATATCAACATAAATTTACAATTAGTAGTAAATTATTGCATAATCTTAATTCATATAACTTAGATATAAAAACCATTTAAAAAACTGTAATGTGTGTTTAATGATGTCATTGGCTTTAATTCAATGAAATCACTAAGGTATGTCACAAATCATTTGATTGAAGATTAAAGTTGTTCGAATATTGTTGTTGTTTAGTGTTGTTGCAAAAAACTTTAAAAGGTAAGTGCGTAAAGTTCTCCGATTCAACGAACTAATTATTTATTAAAAAAATGTTTTACGTTTATACAAGTTCAGTTTTGTGCTTTTATACTTTTAAAGTTAATATATTTTTTTTCAATTTATTAAATATGTCTTTAATATATATATATATATATATATATATATATATATATATATATATATATATATATATATATATATATATATATATATATATATATATATATATATATATATATATATATATATATATATATATATATATATATATATATATATATATATATATATATATATATATATATATATATATATATATATATATATATATATATATATATATATATATATATATGTATATATATATAAACAGTTACGAATAAGACGTATTTCTAAACTTTTTATAAATATAAATTATGACCCATAACTGTTTTATAAAATTGTGCATGTTTCAGATCTGAAACATATTTTAACGAAACAGGATAAAAAGTTATCTTTTTATACAAATACTTACACAAATAACACTGATCTCTGTGTGTACCCTTAAAAATAAAGTCATTTAAGTTAATGGTATTATATATCTAAAATTTGTTATAAAATTAACATTTAAAACTGCTCCCATTTTTTTTTCTTTAAACAAGGCTTTTTTTTAAATTAAACTAAAAAAAATGATTAGAGTGGCCTTGTAAAGTTGTAATTTGTTTGGTCTATAAGTTGCTTGTGGTTGCGGTTTATAATTTACTTTCGGCCGTGGTATATAAGTTTCTATATGTGTGTCTATATATATATATATATATATATATATATATATATATATATATATATATATATATATATATATATATATATATATATATATATATATATATATATATATATATATATATATACATATGTAATATTTCTGTGATGTGACAATAACTGTTGTATTTGTTAATATGGCAGCAATACCCTTATAGTGAAATTCTTGTATTATTTATCTTTATTGTACAGATAGTAACTTTTTAAATGCTGCATTTAAAATAAAATTTAAAAATATTCAGAATTGGTTTACTGATACAAATCATATTTTTTCCCCCATTATTCATGATTTGTAGTTTGTTTTAAAGTGTCAACCAATTGTAAAATGTTTTTATATTTTTCAGACAGCATATATGTTCCGCGTTATATTCCATAGGTGTTGCAGCAATAGGTTTCTTGTTATTTGAAGAGGTCTGAGAACCAAACCAATTTTTAAAATGTAATTTTTATTATTTTAAAAATATTATGTAACAAAAAAAATGTTATTCGTAAAATTTTATTTGTGACACGGTATTTAAAAATGCATTTGTGGTTAACTGATAGATTTTAGAGTAAAACGAGAAAATATAAATAACATTCACTAACTTAAAATGGAAACATGGTAAAAAAAGTAGGGATGTAATAAAAAAGCAAAAGAAAACTAATAAAACTGTAAAAAAAGTTGATTATAAAAAGAATCCGTTCTTTTTATTTTGGTAAATTTTATTTACCAGGTTGCATCTTTTGTAAAATAATATTTAAAATTATGTCATTTAAGTAAAGCTTACAAATTTTTAACGTGGGAATGTATGGTTTACAACGTTTAATAAGTTTCCATCAGGGTTGGCGGCGAGAAGTTATAATCTTTTAATAATTCTTCAGATAGTTCAGTGTCATTTTTGTATTGGTTTGTGATAAATGATTTTAAATAGTCTCTATACTGTAAATTAAAAGAAGTTTTCGTCTTTGTTGATGAATACTTTGTATTCAGGTTTATTTGAGAATTAATGGTTTAGTAGAAAAAAATATTTTTTAATACAAAAGCATTTTCTAATAATTTATTATCATTATATAAAATATTCTTGTTTAGTTAATTGAAAACAGATTTGGTTTTTAGCATATAGAAGTATTTTATCTTAATTGTGTTTCGTTTATAATGTTGGTCAATTAGGTTTGTTATATTTAGTAAAATATTGAAACTAAAATTATGTCTAATTTTGAATTCAATATTTTACTAAAATTCAGAAATAAAACATATTTTAATTGATTAATTGATTGATATTCTTATAATATTTTTTGAACAATTATTTATTATGCTCTGTACACGATTTATTAGTAGCATAACTAAGAATTGCGTACGCATCACTTAGATTGGTTTCATTAAGGTCGAAATTTTCAACTAGATTTAAAGTACAATCAATATCTTTAACAATTTTAAAATTAATTTTATAAAATCAATAAGTTAGTATAGGTATTTAGATTGTTACTTTTAAAAATTTGCACGAAATGTTTTTTTAATGGCTCTATTTGCTTGCCACTTTTGTTCTTACAAATAACTAAACAAAATAGAATTTTGCTCGTTTTTATACAGTTGAAAGTGATTTCTAAAATAAAAGTTCTTTGAAATTTTTAGCCTCTGCCTCTAAGAAGATCCTGAAATATGACCGTTTTACTTTTAGCAGATACTTGACAGACCCCTATTGTACCCTTAAAATTGCAACGTTTATTTAAAGGTTTCAAGTCACATAACTATAAAAATTTATTATTTTTTTACTTAAAATTTTGTAACTGGCAATTTTTAAAGGTTACGAATCCAATGAAATGATCAAAAGTGTAAAAAAATGTTATTAAGTACCTGTAATTATCAATTTAAATAAATTTAGGCCATTTCTTATATACCTGTTTTTAATTCTCAAGAAACCCATGTGGTCTTGATTATATCAAAAAAAAAAAAATATATATATATATATATATATATATATATATATATATATATATATATATATATATATATATATATATATTACACATCATTCTATATTCATTGATCTTTCAAAAAATGTAAAGATTTTGATCTGCAATAATATGGATTTCCATATATGGATAACGGGGCGCGGTTCCCACTTTTTTGTAGAGGAATATTGCAATTGATTTTTCACTAACTTCCAGGCTAGCTGCAGCTCTGAAAATTTCGGCATTTTTGTAGTACCAATGAATGTGCGTGTTAAAATTGCTTTCAGGGCCTCAAGACATTAGGGGAGGACTGCGGCAAGTGCCCCACTTTTTTGTAGTGGAATATTGTGATTTTTCCTACCTTCCAAACAAACTAGAGCTCTAAAAATATCAGCATATGTGTAGTCCTGATAAATGCATGTTAAAATTGTTTCCAAGACAGACGACCAGAGAGTCCATGGCCTGGGGCATTGGGGCCATGCTCCACTTAATTTTTCAAACAATTTTTTGTGCACTTTTAACAAAGTAATGATAACTTTGAAAATATTGTTTTCAAAAATTTTTTGTTTATATTTTTTCCATTTGGTTTTTGATCATTCTGTATTCAATGATCTTTCTTAAAATGTTTTAAGAAAGTACATATGTTTATAAGATTCCTAATTTGCAAGTATATGGATTAAAAACAGTCATCCATCTAAAATAATGATTTTAACAAAAAATTTTATTGTATAATTTAAAACTTTTTTTGAAATGAAAACAGAGAGAAAAACATCAATATTTTTTTGAGAAAAGTGTTGGGCATGACCCTCAGTGCCCTGGCCTTATGGATCGTCTAGTCATCTACCCTGGAAACAATTTTAACACACGTTCATCAAGACTACATAAATGCTGAAAGTTTCAGAGCTCCAGTTTGTCTGCAAAGTAGTGAAAAAATTATCAAAAAAATTTTCGTTAAAAAGAGTCTATAACCTACCTCCCTCCCTCCCTTTGGTGTCTTGGAATTGAAAATAACTTTAACATCCACGTTTATCGACACTACAGAAATGCCAAAAGTTTCATAGCTTTAGCTTGTCTGAAAGGTTGCAATACTTAATTGCAATACTCCGTTATAAAAAAGTGTATGTTGCGCCCCGTTATCCATAAATGGAAATCCATATACTTGCAGATCAAAATCTTTACATTTTTTGAATTATTTTTTTGATATCATTAAGGCCACATGGGCTTCTTGAGAATTAAAAATAGGTATATAAGAAATTGCCTAAATTTATTTAAATTGATAATTACAGGTACTTAATAATATTTTTTTTATACTTTTGATCATTTTATTGGATTCGTCACTTTCAAATATAGCCAATTACAAAATTTTAAGTAAAAAAATAATATATTTTTATAGTTATGTGACTTGAAATCTTTAAATAAACATTGCAATTTTAAAGGGATAATAGGGGTCTGACCAGTATCTGCTAAAAGTAAAACGGTCATATTTCTGGATCTTCTTAGAGCCAGAGGCTAAAAATTTCAAAGAACTCTTATTTTACTAATTACTTTCAACTGTATAAAAACGAGCAAAAGCTGAGATACAGGGTGACATTTTTAAAAATTTCTGAGTCATTTGACATGAGTTTACCTTATATATGCTATATATCATTATCATTAACTGAAGATATTTCGAATCATTACTAGAAGTGAAGTTAGGATTTCAGTAAATAATTACAACTGCATAAAATAGTAATTAAACTAATATTCCCGATTAATAAAAAAATTTACTTAAATATTTTTCTAAGTTTACTAAAACGTTGTCTTATGTCGAAAATGAAAAGCAAGATAAAAAGTTGCTGGAAGAACAAAAACAGCGATTTATAACATTACTGGTTAGTAGTTACAATACAGTAGGTAGCCGCAGTAAAATTTTTGATAACTAACTAATTGTAGTAAACGTTGTAATTCAAAAAATCTAAAAAGTTAAATAATGGTAATAAACGCTTCTTTATGCTGTTCATATAACATTTTTTTTTAAAAAAGGAAATGTTGATGACATATTTGATCAAGGATATCCAGACGCTAATTTTTATCATGCCACTGAAACTTATGTAATTAAGTATGTAATTAATAATTATTTTATAATCTATATAAAACAAGAAACAAAATTCGAAAGATAAATCTTAAAAAAACATGTAAAAATTTATTTGACTACTTTAAATTTGAACTTTCTTGCTTTTATATTTGCAAACTCCATAATTATTTTATTTGGTTTTTGTTCATTTGCTTTTTCATTCTCTTTTTCCAAAATTAAATAAGTCTAAGACTTTCCTGAGACATGCTATTTCTTAAACATAATTTGATTTACTTTAATTTGCTAAAGGATTTTTCCGCATTAGCAACTGTCACAGATTTTGTCATCAATAGCAGTATTTCTGTGTTTCCAACTTGAAAATTGCACTCCATAAAACTGTATTAGATAAGTGGTACATTAACCAAATTTATTATTGCTGTCGCTTTTGTGATATTTTCTTTAATAAAAACATTTATTAATCAAACTTTAAAATTTTTTGTCAAATTATCCTGGGCAATTCTATTGAAATATTTTAGTCAATTAGACCGTCTTGCGACAATTTTGTTAAACTTTGAAATTGCAAAAAATTAAAAACGTTTGAATATTTTTTCCATTTCAATAAAACTATCACTTATTTGCACATTGACAATATCTATGTTCCTACGAAATAAATTAATTTAAAATCTTTTTTCAGTGCATTCATATAAATAACGTCCGTTTAAATTACCAAAACGTCATCTAATTTTGAATTGCCTTTTAGTATCTAAAGTCAGTTTTATTTGTCGCTTATTGCAAATAGATTTTGTTGCCTAATTTAAAAAAATTTATAGTTAACATTTTGTTTCGTTTATTAGTCTCTCTTTGTTTTTTTAATTTAATGAAATTTTTGTTAAATCTTTAACCTTTCTTTAAAAACATAATTTTATATCTAGTAAAGAATTAATTTTTGAGGACCATCATGTTGGGTTTATTTTCTTCAATGTTATTTCCAACTCTCTGCTGAGTTTTGATAACAAATTCTCTTAATAATGTTGCCAAATAAAAAATAAAATTTTTGTAAAATTAAAAAAAAACTTATTTACTTCACTAGTACTAATTATCTTCTTTTCGCTTTTCTAATACTTATTATCTTCTTTTTCGTGAATATTTTGTGAATATTATTTTGGCTGAGTTTTTTTTTTCTGTACTCCATTATAAATGCCAATTATCATTATCTCCGTTATATCCTTGACCGCAGTACTTTTTTAAATCTATTCCTTTATCTCTAAACAACAATAATATTTCATTGGTTAAACCTATTGCTCAATGAATCTATATTTCATAAAAATGAAATATAGATTCATTGAAAATATGGATACACATTCAATATTTAGAAAGTAGATTTCCGCCTGCTTCAAAAAGTGTCTCTTTTGAGCCAGATTTGATTACATCTAAAGATTTATCTAAGTCGCGATGTTTATCAACCTCATTTGAAAACTTAAATGAATTTAGAGAAACTGAAGAAATCGTTGATGAATCAATTTACGAAAACGTTTTACGGAAACCTCTTGCATTTATTTTATAATCTTTAATCTCTATTTGACAAATTCGAGTGTTCTGTTTATGAATAATCTGAACGTATCGAAGAATTAAACGAAGTTGGTCTTTTTTTAGAAACTTCTTGAGTTGTGTCAACTATAAGAGAGATAAAGGGAGATTCATTTATTTGCAACATTGAAGTGTGTTCTAAATTTTGGCTTTAACATTAAATAAAATTAAATTGGACTAAAATAAGCTAAGTTGATTAAATTAGGCTAAGATATTTTATTGAGTCTTTGGGTTCGAAGAGTACTTGTTTCATTAAGTCGTAAAATTTGATGTTTAGATAATGACGCAATTCTACCTGAGACAAAAAATTGCCATTGTAATCTTCATCTCTCAACATCTTTAAATGAAAGCGAATATTTTTATATTATATGAATTCAAAAATAGTTTACGCACAATGTAACTTTTCTATCATTAAAATATATTTACTAAAATTATAGTATCTGAATTTTAATTAACTTTTACTTCATTTAGTAAAATAATATTATATAAAAATGAAGACATAGCTAGGTGCTTTTTTTTTATTTATTTTTTATTTATATAAATAATTTTTAATAATTTAACTTTATAAAAAAATTATAAAAAATTGTAAAGAAAAGAATTTAAAAAATTTGTATCTAGCTGTGATAAGGTTTACCAGCTTATTAAATATACAAGGTTTGTGTATATAATATATATTATCAGGTATATATAAGTTATATTATCAATTTTGGATATAAATAATATACGAAAAACAATATATCAAGCGCAAAAAGAAATATAATATATTAAGAAATGTGATTGAAACTAACAGTATTATTTTATAAATTCTAGAGTAAATGGGCCACGTTATGAAAAAAACCTCCCAAATTGTACCTTTGAGGAACAAATCTTTTTTAAGATTTTATTAAAAATGCAGATTTTTGAAATCAAAAATACCTAACTAATTTATATTATGCTTTCTGCATAACGTGGCACAATTAACAAGACAGAAATATTTTAAATAGAAATTATTTAGAGATTAATGGTAAGACTAAATATTAAAAGAAAGATGGTAACCCAATATACTAAATTTAAAACTCTTTCTCAAATTTCACAGTATACCGTTAAATTGATAAACGACCTCGTAAGTGTTCACGGCCAAGGTACCGTTATAACAAGCACAACACCGTGAAAGACAATCACGGAAAAATACCGTATTGTTCACGTTATAGTACCTCTAATTATTTATATTATCGGTGCTTGGACCAACAAAGTTGTTGGTTGTTGGTTTCAAATAAACTTATTTTAATGCTAAATATACCGAAATTATTTGCGTTTATTTTGTTCATACCATAAGAAAAAAATATTCCCTGAATATTAGTTTTTACATGTCTTTATCTTTTTCCGAATATTTCTGGAATTACGGATATTTTCTTCAACTTTTAGTTTTTCCGGATAATCAAAACATTTTCAATACATGCAAGTTGAGGTATATATTTGTAATATATTTGTTTTTTAAGCTTTTTCACTCATTACTCATATAAAAATTATGAAAAGTGTCAAAAAAAATTAAAAACAACAATTAAAAACAAACTCCGGATTTTTTCCGGATATTTTATTCAAACAGTTTTCCAGATTTTAAAAATATGACTAGGATGATCTATGTACATACTTTACGTCGCTTTGGTTGTTTAGGACTATCGGAGTGATCATCCAGTAACCTAAGTGATCTAAAAATTTAGGAAACTCATTATTAGGAAGAGCAGAAACTCTTTTTCTGCTCGTAATGCCAAAAACGCTATTTTGTTGCTATGACATGCATCTAATACTACAACTTTCAAATGAGTGGGTCTCTAATGATATTTAATATTAATAATATTATCTCTTTTTTGTAAGCTTTTGTAAGTCTTGAAAGAAGTATAGTGAAAAACCACTTTTTTATTTATATATTTATTGTTTTTTAAAAATGATATTTATACAGGATAAACACGTTCAATTATGTACTTAAAAAAAAATAATTTTGCTGTTTATTCAAAATATAATAATTTTAAATTAAATTAATGTTACTGTTAATTCTGTTTCTAGTTTACTTAAAATTTGTTTTTTGGAACTTTTTTTTCTTTTTCTTTTTTTTTGAATTTAGAATTTTTTCAGTTTAGAGAAAACTTGTTTGCACTAAAATAACTTCTTTAAACTAACTCAAAATAAACGAAGTAAGTAAATATATAATATAATATAAAAATATAATAAATAAACGAAAGTGTTTTAACAAAATGCATCTGTTAGTAGTTCAACCGCTATGGTGTTTTTTAAGTGTTAGGTACTTTTTTGCTATTGTATAATCTCCGACAATAATTTATCATAGAGAATTTGCTTGTTACGGTTGTGATTAATATACTTTTTTTCATCTGCAGGTTTGTAAATAAACCAAGCAAATAACGAAACAAAACAAAAACGTTTATTTACTTTGTTTCGAAGGGTAACTACCAATGCACAAACTGTAAAACACAAGAACAGATTAAAAAAATATTTTAACTTGCGTTTGATCTACATCAACTCTTGAATTATAAAATGAATTAATTTAGTTGTTATTTTTTTCTGAGTAATCATGTTTAAGTTTGTGATGACAAAAAATAGTTATGAACTTTTTTATCGCGCTGTAACTAATAACGATATTTCACGGACCAAATTAATATTGGATGAAGCATTAAAAGATCCGCGATTCAATATAGACGAAATAAATGATGATGGTTTAACAGCTCTTCAGTCCAGTTGCTTTGCTGGAAACTTAGACATAGTAAAAATGTTGGTCTCAAAACAAGCCAATTGGAAAATACAAGATCGCGAAGGTAATACTTTATTGCATGCTGCAGCAATGATGGGTCGTGTTGAGGTTGTCAAGTATTTGCTAAGTTTAGGTATTAAACCTGTTGTAAAAGCAGACAATGGTCTTATGCCTATTGATACTACTGACAATATATCAGTTATTGTTGTTTTGCTTAGAGCAATGCTTGATCAGGGATACCTTTATGAGATGCAGGACTACATGTTAGATCATCCAATGTTAAAAAGAAAAATATTTCAAGAACTTGAAGTTGTTAAATGTAAAGAGAATGAAAAAAAAGAAATTCTTAAAGATCTCCCATATACTTCTCATACCGTCAAACGTAGTCTTACTCATATCGAAAAAGCACAAGGAAATGCCGAAAACACCCAAAGAATGAATAGGTCTTTAAATACATTTACTTCATATACCGAATCATCAAACAGCATAAATTTGATTGAGCAAACGCATTATTCAAAACTCCATGCTAATCTTTTAGAATCTCATTTAAGTCGACAAAACAGTCTTAACAGCCTAAGCAGTAAAAGCTCTCGATCTTCACATAATTCGGTAGGAGGTATTTTAAAAAACACTGATAACAATATGGATACACATTCATTTACGCAGCAATATTTAGAAAGTAGATTTCCGCCTGCTTCAAAAAGTGTCTCTTTTGAGCCAGATTTGATTACATCTAAAGATTTATCTAAGTCGCGATGTTTATCAACCTCATTTGAAAACTTAAATGAATTTAGAGAAACTGAAGAAATCGTTGATGAATCAATTTACGAAAACGTTTTACGGAAACCTCTTGCATTACCTCCAATATTGGAAAGCTGCCTAAATAAACAAGTTGATGATAGTCCCCCGCCTCCTCTTCCACCTCGAGAACCTACAATCTTTGAGCCACCATCTTCAGATATTTACTCTAAAAGAAATAAGTATTTTGACGAAATTTCTCAATATCACGATAAGCAATTTGGTTCGGAAACTGACAGCGGAATCGACATTAACGAAACGCAAGGTCGTTTATTTGCTTTATCTTTAGAGGACAAAATTCTATCGCGGTCATCTGAGTCACTTGATAATATTTCAGAACGCCGTGAAACATTTTCTCAACCAATAGGGCTATTTTATTCACGAGATAAGCAAACCACTATTGTAAAGCAACAAGTGAGCTCCGACGATAATTTACCGTGTGGTTTTTTTATCAGAACACACTTAAAAACCAACCCAAAGCATATGAGTTGGAATGGAAGGTCTTTGCAAAAAGAATTAGATGAACTTCAACCTTGGTATAATAGCTATGTGAAAGATCGCCATGGTTGTTCTACTGATACAAATTTTTCTACTAAATACGTAAATGAGAGTAACAAAAATGATTTTAACAATAAGAATGCAAAAATAGACAAAGAAGCAAACAACTATAGTATCAAAGAAAGAGTTCGAGCAATGAGCACAGGAAACATATATAACAGTAATGATGTCTTTTTATATAATATTGATCACCATCCAGACATTATGTTATAAGATATAACTAGCCTATGCGCATGAATTTTGTCATATATTATATGTTTTTTATTGAGTATATTTCTTATCTAATAATATTCGGCATAAAGTGTGAAAACATTACATGTTTTGCTTATATAAAAGTTTTTGTTATGGTTTTATTAACTATATATATTTATGTATACATAAATATACATAAATAAATAAATATATATATATATATATATATATATATATATATATATATATATATATATATATATATATATATATATATATATATATATATATATATATATATATATATATATATAACTATTTAAAAGGCAGTTTTATTAAAAAATAACAGCGTTATTTATTATGAAAACCTTCTGCTTCTCTAACGATAATATTTAATACAGTTAGAGAAGTATCTAAAGAAAAATATTTAAAGATATGGTACTTTAGTTTTATTTCTTATTTTAAAAGTTTCAAGCTCTATATGTATATACATATATATATATATATATATATATATATATATATATATATATATATATATATATATATATATATATATATATATATATATATATATATATATATATATATACATGATAGTATCAAAACCTTGTACAAAAAAGGATTTTAATACTTTTAAAATTTTATAATTATTTATATAATTAATATATTGTGAACGAGGAGGAGGAGGGCCACAACTTTTCTTTAAAGCATTAAAGTCTTGATAAAATGCTATATTTAAAAGCATTTCAAGGGGTAACTTGAGAATTATATTTTTATTGTTTACTAAAAATAATTACTCAACAGACACTCAAGATCAAATAAATATTGTTTGTTGTAAATTTAAAAAATAAAAATAAAAAAACCATTAAAATGACGTCGATGGGTAGTAATAAAATTTCTATTTTCAAAAATATTAATGAATTTTTCGTTTCGACTTGTTTATTAGGTATAGCTTAACTAAGTTACGTTTCATATAAAATTTCATAAAGCAAAATTTGCCACAAACGTCCTCCTCCGTCCTCGTATTTGAACTTTTGTTGTATTATTTATGCAGGTAGAATACGTATTAATATTACAACTGTTTTTTTTTACAAGGGAGATGTTAAATACACTCACACTAAATATGTTTTTAGAAAAATATTTCTTCTAACTTTTTATATTAACTATATTTTTTCTAACTAAAATGTTTTTGCCTCCGATAACCGCCCCCTAATAAAATTTATCTGTTTCCATGACTAAAATAAACATATCTAAGTTACATACGTTTAAATAGATAATCTAACTAATACTTAAGAACAATAAATAAATGAGTTAAAAAAATAGATAATGAATGAGTTAAAAACATGTGTTAGTAAACACAAAATATTGCAATAAACCAGCAATACATTTTTTTTAGCTTAAAGTTTTTAGTTTTAAATTTTATTATTATTTCTATACTTACAAAACATTTTTTATTATTATTTCATATATATATATATATATATATATATATATATATATATATATATATATATATATATATATATATATATATATATATATATATATATATATATATATATTGATTTTACTTTTTCGATTTAAATGAAATAATTAACACTGTTAACTTTAATAATTTTAACGTTTTTGTACATTTTTTTTTTTTTTTTGCTGTGAATATATTGATTTTAACCTGTTGTGTGTGAAATTTTTTTTTTTTTTTTCTGTTTACATTTGCCGTAAAATAAATTATGTATTTTACAAAAACAAAGAAAATAAGGCTTCTGAAAGAAGATCAACTGATCATATCATCAGAACCTTTACAATTTTATCATACTATAAAAACTGAAAATATAAATCTAAAAAACGTGTGGGGGGGGGGGGGGTGCCATTACAACTTTTGACGACTAAAAAAAAAAAAAAAAAGATCCTCGTTTTCCAAAATTTGCCGACTGTCATGAAAAATGTCAAATTTGCCGACTAAAACTTACTAAATAATTGAAGTAGGGGGGTGCTACACCCCCCCTAAATCCGGCCCTGCGTATCTGTAATAATAATTCTCACAAATCTGTTATAAAAATCCATAATAATAAATGTTATAGATCTGTTATAAATTAAAGAAAATAAATCTTTTAATATAAATATTACTATAAATCTCATAAATCAAATTTATACTTCAAGTTAATAGTAACTTAAAATGTCATCCATAGCAAGAATAAAATTTTTTAATTCATTTTTAAAAACAGAAAAACGGATAAAAGGATCAAAATTAGGCAGAACTATTTTCTTCCAAAGATAAGGTGTTCGATAATTAATACAAAATTTATTAAATCTTGTTCTACAAAATGGTTCATTTAGCAAATCTTTATTTCTAAGTGAGTACTTATTAGTAAGTTTTAATGTAAAAAGGTCATTAAAAACAGGTAGGGATAAATTGTTTTTCCACATATTAGTAAAACATAAAACATTAAAAACATTAAGTTTGTAGACATTAAGTGTTTTCATTTCATCAAAGAAAGGCTTTGAATGTGTAGAGCGATCTACATAATTAATCACACGAATTGCATGTTTCTGTTGGCGATATAGACGTTGTAGTTTACTTTTTTCGGTACTACCCCATGCAATATTTGTGTAGTTTATATAGCTGTGTATGAATAAGTAATAGAGCTGTGTAAGGCTTTTTTGCTTAAGTAAGGTCAGGCTTTATACAAAATGCCAATATTTTTAGATATCTTGGTGGTTATATGATTAATATGGTTTTTCCAAGTAATATTCTCATCAAGATAAATACCTAGGAATCTTGTAACAGAATCTCTTTTTATTAGAGTTTCATCAATATAAATTTGAGGCATAATATCTGGTAAAGAACGTTTTTTTTAGAAGGAATGAAAAAGAATCCATTTAGATTGTTAGTATTTAACGTTAATGTATTACATTTAAACCATTTAAAAATGTTTATAAGTTCATTATGAGGTTTTGAGAAAAGTTTGTAAACGTTAGTGTGGGATTTAAATTAGTTAGTGTCATCGGCATAAATAATACTTATCAGGTTAGAGGCTTTGTTTAGATCATTGACATAGATAAGAAATAGCAGCGGTCCGAGAATAGAACCTTGTGAAACACCACAGGTTAAATATAAGGACCCACTTTGAACGTCATTATTACTATAGACTACTTGCTTACGATTTGTTAAATAGCTTTTAAACCACGCTAAAGTATTATTGTTTAAACCGTAATATTAAATTTTTTTGTATTAAAGTATTATGGTCAACCGTATCAAATGCTTTTGATAGATCTATAAAAACACCTAATGTATATTGAGCTTTTTCAAAGGATTTGGAGATGCTGCGTACAAATTGAATAAGGGCATGCTCAGTTGAACTATCTTTTTTGAAACCGAATTGATTGTTGTATAGCAGGTTATTGTAATTAAAATAATTATTAACTCTGTTAAACATAATTTTTTCTAGGATTTTGGAGAATACAGGTAGGATAGAGATGGGGCGATAATTATTGATATTGGATCTGTCGCCTTTCTTTATGAATTGGAATAAATTTAGCAATTTTTAAGCCCTCAGGGAAAATTCATTGATGGATGGATGCTTTAAAGATTTTAAAAAGAATATTTTTAATTTGTTCATAGCAATCTATAACTATATTTCCGTTTATTTCATCAGGCCCAGTTGCTTTTTTTTTTTTTAAGGTTTTAAAAGCTTTTTCAAAATCTTCGAAGGATAATTCGGACGATAGTTCATCAGAGCATCAAGAGGTGCTAAAAAATCATAAAAAGAAGTTTTGGTAATTGGAATTTTATCTCATACTTTTTCGAGCAAACGAAAAAAAAATATTAAAAATATCAGGGGGCCAAATAAGGTATAAAATGAAATAAACGGTATACATTAAACATACAATACAATAAGTAAACATACAATGTTTTAAACATACAATAAACTTTAATTTTAAACATAAATAAGTACAAACGGTATACATAAACATTACTTGATTTTTTAAATCATAATCTTGTATTGTTATTATTAACATCTTAACTTACCCCCGTTTTTACGGAAATCTTTGAAAATTTTTATAGCGTTTTATGTTTTTCTAAGTTAATGGAGACTTAATGTTATTTATTTTTGTGAAAGTATATTATTCGCTTTTAAATGTAAACTAGTTTGCAATACAATAATTCAGCATTAACAATAAAGTAAAAAGTCTGTTGAAAATAGTCTAACGAATTATATTCTTTAGACCGTTTTTACAGATTTGCTTGTCAAAATAAAAAAAAAGTGTGGTAAAAAACTGTAAGTCAAAAAGACCAACATTCCTCTGAGTAAGTTAATAATCTAATTAGTAATATTGTAAATACAACGTTATAATTATAACATTTATACATATGTGTATGTGTTTATATATATATATATATATATATATATATATATATATATATATATATATATATATATATATATATATATATATATATATATATATATATATATATATATATATATATATATATATATATATATGTATATATATATATATATATATATATATATATATATATATATATATATATATATGTATATATATATATATATATATATATATATATATATATATATATATATATATATATATATATATATATATATATGTATATATAAATTATATGTATATAAAACATATACATGTGTTTATTACATATACAATCAGGGTGTTACCCAGGAAAGTTTCATACAGCGTTTTGGCGAAATGGGGAATTTAGGTGCTGCTAAAAAAAAAAAAAAAAAAAAAAAAAGTCCTTACATTCAGCAATTAAATTTTAATCAAAATAACTTTTCAATTTTTGCTGGGAGTTACATTTACAGCAGGATTATTTTTCTACTTTATATATGTTTAATTTTAATTAATCAACTTGTTTCACTATAACCAATCTTCTTTTAAGTTTTCATTTAAATCGCTTCTTTTCTTTGTTTTTGATATACTGCAGCCGTTTTTCAAAACGCCTTAATTACGTATTTCGAGAAAAGTGCAATAAAAAAAAAAGAAAAAGAAAAAAAGAAAAATTTAAACTCGAGAATAAGTGACGTC